AGTTCAGTTCCAGACGTGAAGGGTAGCTAGTGGCCATAGTCTAATGGATTCCAGCAGGCTCTGTCAGACGAGCAAACCTGGTCTTTTAAAATTTTTTTATGTTTTGGTTTCATTCCACATTGTTCTCCCACTCTATCCAGGATCTCGTGCACCAGTCACCCTCCAAGTGGTTGATAGTGGTAGCCAGGCACCATCTAGTTCTTCTGATCTCATGGTCATATAAGCTGAGGATCGCATGGTCTACTAGTTCCTTGGACTAATTGTTTCCATGTGTCTTTGGTTTTCTTCATTCTTCTTTGCTCTTGATGAGGAGAGACCCCATAATTGCATCTAGATGGCTTCTTGCAAGCTTTTCAGACCTCTCAGTCTCTAGTCATCAAAGTGGGATGTGGAACAATTTTTGGGGGTAGTATGTTATGCCAGTTGAGCTTGATGTCCCCTGTGCCTGTGGTCTCGAGCCCATACCTCCAATTACTCGCTCCCTCAGGGTAGCTGGCTGTGGCCAAGAAGTCACCGCAATCTTCCCTTGTCAGCTCTGCTATACACCCAGACATTCTTACAGCACATACAGATATGCTTTTAGAGGCATTGTCTCCCAACACTATACATGGTCACGGGCACACTCCTCCCTGCCTAGACGTACCTGATTATTCAGCCTATCCACCCATCTATCCACCTGTAGATCAATGCTTGCCATCACTGACAGTGTAGTACTGTACGTGCAAAAGGGTTCATTTTTGTTTTCTGTACCTCCCGTGTCTCTCTTTCTGTCTTCTTCCTCAATGCCACCGTGTAGATCAGTCTCTTTTGGTACATTGCTCTTCCCTTCACCCACATCAGTACTTGTCTCTACCTATTTAGCAGTGTTCCCTCCTCTACCTTCTCATCCCTGGTAACCAACAAAGTTTCCTTCCATGTGTAAACCTTTCCTTGACTTTTTACAATAATGAAATACTGTATTTGTCCTTCTGTTATTTACTTATTTCACTCAACATAATGTCTTCCAAGTCCATCCATGTTATGCGGTGTTTTGTAGATTCTACATTATTGTTTAGTGTTGCATACTATTCCATTATATGTATGTACTGTAGTTTCATTATCCATTCTTCTGTTGATGGGCACTTAGGTTATTTCCATCTCTTTGCTATTGTAAATAGTGCTGCGATGAACATGGTTGTGCATATATCTGTTCTTGTCCTGGCTCTCACTTCTTTAGGATATATACCTAGTAATGGAATTGTTGAATCAAATGGTATTTCTAATTCCAACTTTTTAAGGAATCACCATACTGCTTTCCTTACTGGTTGTATCATTTGACAGTCCCACCAGCAGTGTATGAAGAGTCCCAATCTCTCTGCATCCTCAGGAGCATTTGTTATTTTCTGTCTTGTTGAACTTTGCTACTAGTGCTGGGACAAGATGATATCTCATTGTTGTTTTGATTTCATCTCTCTAATGGCTAATAATTGTGAACATTTCTTCAAATTGTGGATACTTTTTATAATGAATTTTGTTAGGTTGTGTTATAACATCTGAGATAAACAGTATTATATTCAGACAACTAATGTGCAATCCGACTTAGTATACGACACTCGTATATAGTATGAGGATGTAGTTGAACAAGTATTTATTACATTAGAAGAGGGGCTGGCACACTACTACCCATAGGCTGAATCCTGCCTACCACCTGTTCTTGTAAGGTTTTGTTTGTTTATGGCTGTGTTTGTGCTACAGTGGCAGAGTGGGGTAGCCATGACAGAGACCTTATGGCCTGTGAATCTTAAGATATTTACCATCTGGCTCTTTATGGAAAAAGTTAACTGATTATTCTCTTTATCAGCAGCCATGGGATGAATTTCTTTTGTGAACATTATGCACCTTCATTTATTGACTGTGTATCCTGGGCATACACCTATTACTACAGTAAGAATTGAAATAGAAAAGTAAATGAGTTCCCTTTTGGAATTTGTGTCTATTGTCAGAAATCTATATGTCTATCCATATGTATATCTTATTGATCTATATTGACTGATTGATCAGTACATAGAGATAGGTAGAAACACAAAAGTCTAAAAAACTATGGGAGCATAATAAAGAGAAGAATAAAATGTCAGAGGGAAAATTAAAGGGAAGGCATTCTAAGGAAAGTATTCTTTTTGCTAGGTCTTGGAGAATGAGGAGGAATTTCTGAGAAGTGAGGGTGTAGCATTCTAACAAAAGAATAAGGAAGTACTGCCTGCGGACTAAGTCTATATGTAAAATTATTAACTGTTACCTATATCTGTCTGTCTATCTCTATATAAAAACTCAAACCAAACTCACTGCTATTGAGTTGATTCTGACCCATAGCAACCCCCAATGGGTTTCCAAGGCTGTAAATCTTTAAGGAAGCAGACTGCTTCATCTTCTGTGGAGCAGCTGGTGGGTTTGAACCACTGACCTTTTGGTTAGAAGCCAAATGCCTGCGTCAGTACACCACCAGAGCTACTTAACTATATATTATTTAAAGTTAATATTTGATATCTAACTTAGTGCTCTGACTTAGAAAAAAGCAAAAGTTGTATTTTAACCATAAGCCTATGGATATTGACAAGTAATTCCAGTGAGGTACATTTAGTGAAGTTTCATACTAATTTAAAAAGAAAATAGGACTGTTAAGTAGCTTTAATTCATCACCATGTTGTCATAAACTATTGTCAAATATATATTTTAAGAGTTCTTTTATCAGATTTGTTTGGATGCTGTGGCAAAAAAGCAAGAAAATAGAATCTAAAACAAAAGATTTTACTCAGAATTGTTAATTTGAAGTCTTCATTTTATTTCAGTTGGATTGGTTTACCATTTGTGAATGAGTGTGCTTATTTTTGGAAAGAGAAAGAAGATAGCAATGTCATCAGAAGAAAGTATTTCCTAGATTTGTTATTTGACTTTTTTATAGTACATTTAGACAAAAACAAATAAGATAAATAGAGCTTAAAGGGCCACAAATTGAACATTTAAATTGAGTTGTAGCTATGTATGTATTCTGCTTTTTATTATTCAATATTCAATATTATTCTAAAATAGTTTCGGATATTTAGAAAAAATAATTCTGGTGCTTATCATCTGCATAGATTAATTTTTGAAGCATTTTCATGTTGTACTAGACTTCGTTTCTTGGTGATTTCTTCATTCAAAATTCAGGTTGGCTTTCATCTTCCCTGTGAGGTCTGTTGTAAGCTGAATTCCAGCTCTGCTGTGGCTCCATAGCCCCTTGGGTGTGCTGCTGTCGTGGGGACACTTACCACATTCTCTGTATTCTTGCTTCTCATAAAGACTATGAATTCCTCAAGAATTAAGACTGCTATTTTCATGATAGTTGAATATATTTTGAGCACTAACACGTTGCCTCAAGCATATCTGTGTTTGATAAACATTTATCAGATAAATATTGTGTCATTGATCCTTGATGTAACCTATAAAGTAGATAGTCTGGATGTTATTGTTATTGTTCACTGTCAACAGATGAAGAGTTTCAGTAATATGCACAAGGTCACATAGGTTAATTTTCAGAGCTGGCATTCTTATTATTCTAAAACCTATTTTCTATCTAGTGTGACACATTCCCCCTCCCCTTTTCTTAAACTTTAGCAAACAATATTTTTAATTTTTAACTTAATTTTCACAAAAGGTAAAGTATTCACATAGTTAAGAAATCAAAACAATATCAAAAGATTGGGAATTCTTGCTTTCACTCCTGTCCCTCCCATTCATCCACCCTCTTGCCCTTCACTTATTCTCATTTTTCTCACTTGCTGCAATGATGGGCTTAAGCATAGTAATGATTGTGAAGGCGGCGTGGGACTGGGCAGTGTTTTGTTCTGTTGAACATAGGGTCGCTTTCAGTTGGAACTGACTCAATACAGAACTGACTCAATGGTAACTACCAACAACAGCATACCAAAAGTAAAGCATACTTTATACGCTGTTTGGACCTTTAACAGTGTATCTTGGAGCTCTTTCTATAACTCTACCTAGAGAACCACCTTAAATAATTGCTTTAGGACTTTTTTTATATCTATGTATTATTATTATTTTGTGAAAATATACTTTACCCCTTCTACTGTTGGTGGACACAGACAATCTGGTTTTTAAAGTGTAAATTTTACGTAATGTAAAATTTCAAGCACATGCAAAAGTAGAGAGAACAATAACATAAATGCCTCATGTATTCATCATTCAGTTTCAACACTTAACTCTGGTCAATCTTGTTTCATTGGTTATAATACTTCTCCTTCCCCTGATTATTTTGAAGCAAATCCCAGGCATCATATCACTACAAACATAAATATTTCCATCAATAGTATTTTTTGATTAAAAAAATTCCTCTTTTCTATAGTGAGAAGCCTCTAAGAATGAAAACATTTTTAGCTTTTTTAGATTTACAACTATGTTCACTTAATGATTGGTCTCAGAAGAATAATATTTACTTTTCAAAAACATTTATCATTTTATAAAAAAAAAAATGTTCAAATGGATTGTTGTCATTGTTGTTATGTGCTGTTGAGTTGGACCTGACTCATAGTGACCCCTCCTTGGGTTTCCAAGGCAGTATCACTATGGAAGTAGATTGTCCAACCTTCCTTCCGAAGGAGTGACTGGTGGGTTTGAACCGCCAGCCTTCTGGTTAGCAGTCAAGTGCCTTAGGCACTATGCTACCTGAGTTCCTTTTGAATGGATTAGTGGGTCAGAATCGGACACTTTGGTAGGATGGATTGTATGGTATCACCTTATCTTTTTTCGTAATGTACCTACTCTTCATTCTCTCATTTTTTCCCCTTCCATTAAACATATTGAGAAAGGGAATAAACTGTCTTTTGTTTATTTTTCTTTTTAAACTGAAGATGAAAAGAAAAGTATTTTGATGAATGATAATCTGCTGTTAAGAAATATGCTACTCAATTTAAGGTTGATACTAGTATTGCTTAAATTGCTTTAACTACTCTACTGTCATCTGGTAGTTAAGGATTCGAGACCTCGAAGGAGCTTTACAAGTAGAAAAGGCCAGCCAAGCAGAAGCTGTTGCTGATTTGGAAATGATAAAAAATGAATTCAAGGAAGTTGAAAGTGCATATGAGCGAGAAAAGCATAATGCACAAGAGAGCTTTGCAAAACTAAATATGTAAGTGTTTTACTGTATAATTCTCTGACTTAATATAAAGATTTTATGAAAACTATGTAAGTAGGAATGTGTAGTATTTTAGATATAGCTCCCATTAATTTCAGTAGTAGATTGGGAGTAAAAAGCTTCATAAAATGTAGCTATAGTTTTCTATGTCCCTGAATAGATAAATGTGATAATGCTCTTTTAGATTTTGAAGTATCCTGGGTATTCAGAGTAGTCTCTAAAATGCAGGCCTACACTAGAAAAGTAAACATTAATGTCTTTTGTATCATATTTACTGATATATGTAATACTTTTAAATATTTCGATTTTAAAGTGACATAAAATGGTCTATGTGGAGGTGACTGATGCTTGAGTTCTTTTTCTGCTGCAGAAACAATAGTAGTAGGAGTAGCACTGCTACTACTGGCTAATTTAAAGAGACAGGGGTTCTACTTAACTTTCATTATACTCGTGCCCTTCTGACTCTTGGATGATGAGGCTCTTGGAAGAGGCAGAGAAGCCATGTTCTTTTGGTTGTGCTGACAGCAAGGCCTGTTCTCCTGTTTCAGTGGACCCTGTTTGGACTTATAAAATAGCCATGAACAACATTTGGTATTTTGTTGAGTGAAAATAACTTTTAATTAAAAATTCTATTTTCTTTCACATTATCTAAATAAACAGTAATATTCGATTCCTGAAAAACATGAGTTTTATGCTCCATCCCTATCTACTTCCAGTTTCTGCTCTTTTGAGACAACTTTTAATTCTTATCACTGTTTCTTTTGATATTTATTACTAAATAGCATGTATATTCTGTCATTTTTTTATTTTTAACTTTAGATATTATCTTTAGCCTTTACTTATTTATCACTATTCCTTCCTTTCTCTCATCTTGTCAATAGAATTTTATTTTTTGTGTTCTATGTATTTTATTTTTCTAGACTTCTGCTTTTATTTATTTATTTTTTTATTCTGTAATCTGTCGTTTTTCTTTACAGCACTTAATACTACCTACCTGACATTTTATTATAGTCTTTGTTGTTTATTGTCTGTCTCTTTATGTGGATAGGTATTTTGTTGTATTCATTGCTATCTTCCCAGTGCCTTGAATAGTACCTGGCACATCCCAAACCCAAAAAACACCTTGCCCTTGAGTCAATTCCAATTCATAGTGACACTACAGGATAGAGTAAAACTGCCCCCCATTAAGTTTCCAAGGCTGTAATCTTCACAGAGGCAGACTGCCTCATCTTTTTCCTGCAGAGTGGCAGGTGGGTTTGAATTGCTGACATTTTGGTTAGAAGCTGAGCACTTAACTATTGAGTTAATTTTTGACTCACAGTGACCTTCTTTGGGTGTCCAAGGTGGTAAATCTTTACAGAACTAGATTGCATCATCTTCTTTCCTCAGAGCACTGGTGGATTTGAACAGCCATCCTTCTGGTCAGCAGTCAGATGCCTTAGGCACTGCACCACCAGAGCTCCTTTAACCACACATGATTTGCTAAATCAACAAATGAATGAACAGTTAATAATTGCCTCATTTTAAATTAGATTGTTTTATGTGAACCAGTTGCTGATTTATTCCTAAACTTTCTAATAGAACTGAAGTTGTTGTTGTTATTGTGTGCTGTCGAGTCGTACCCGACTCATAGCGACCCCTCTTTGGGTTTCTGAGGCAGTATCACTACGGAAGTAGATTGCCCATCTTCCTTCCGAGGAGTGGCTGCTGGATTTGAACTGCCAGCCTTCTGGTTAGCAGTCAAGTGCCGTAGCCACTATGCTAGAACTGAAGAGTCTCATTATTTTCCAGCCCTTCAGAAATTCTATCATTTTAACTTTCTTCTAAGAGACATCCCTACTAAACTCATCTCTCCACCTTCTACATTCTGAATGAATCATTTTTCAAAGGCACTGTGGTGGCACAATAGTTAAAGTATTCAGCTGCTAACCAAAGGGTTAGTATTTTGAACTCAACCACTCCTTGGGAGAAAGTTGTAGCCGTCTGTTTCCATAGAGACTTACAGCCTTGGAAACCCAGTGGGGCAGTTCTTCTGTGTCCTATAGGATCACTATGGGTCAGAATTGACTTGATTGCAGTGGATTTCGTTTTTTGGTTTGGTATACAGTTGTCCCAGGACTTTCTTTCTTTTTTTTTTAATTGTGGTTTGGGTGAAAATTTACAGAGCAAATTCATTTTCCTTACAGCAGTTCATACACATTTTGTTTCACACATTGATTGCAATCCCCATACTGTAACAGCTCTCTTCCCACTTCCTCCCTGTGGTTACCTTTTTTTCCGTGTCCTTTCCTATGCATTACTGCTCTTCGAGCTATCTCCCTCTCTCTGTGAAAATTTTGATTTCCCATGATTGATTGTTCTAAGGAGTGTACCTACCTGGTGTAAATAATCACCTTATATGCCTGTCTGTTGTTTGGCTGGAAGCCACAGGTATGAGTTCAATTCCAGGCCTGAAGGGTGGCTAGTGGTCATGGTCTCAGGGGTCTCATCAGTCTCTATCAGAACAATAAGCCTGGTCTTTCTTATGATTTTGAGTTTTATTCCACATTTTTCTCTCACTCTAGGATCTTCTGCACTGATCCCTGTCCAAGTGGTTGACAGTGGTAGCCAGCCACTATCTAGTTCTTCTGGTTTCATGGTCATGTAGGCTGAGATTCGGATAGTCCACTAGTCTCATGAACTAATTGTTTCCAAGTGTCTTTGAATTTTTTCATTCTTCTTTGCTCTGGATTAGGAGAGACCAATTGTTGCTTCTAGATGGCTTTTAAGATTCCAGGTGCTACTCGCCAAAGTAGGATGTAGAACAATGTGTTTGTGTAGTATGTTATGCCAATTGAGCTTGATGTCCTCGGTGACCATGGTCCTGAGCCCACATTTCCAGTAACTCGCTCCCTCAGGGTGGTGGGCTGTGGCTAAGAAGTTATCATGACTTTGCCCTGTTAGTTCTATTTATATATACACTTTCACGGCACATACAAATACATATGTAGAAATATCATCTGCTGACCTTATGGTCATGAATGTATTCTTTTCTTAGACGTACCTTGGTCACTCAACCTGCCTACCTATGTACCTACCCATAGGTCAATATTTGTTATTATTGATAATACAGTATTATATATATATAAAAGTGGGAATTTCTTTTATCATCATGCTGGGAATTCCTTCTATTTTTCCTTCTGTGTAGGGTCCCTTGGCTCCATCTTTCTATTTTGATTCACTCCCTTGTAAAATAGCTTCCTGAGAAATCATACATCAGATGAAAATTTTTAAAACTTGCATGGTGAAAATGTTTTTATTTAAACTTTACCTTTTTTGGTACTTTAGCTGGCTATTCATTCTGTTGTGTTGAGTAGTTGGAAGCCATTAGATTCCTGATCTTTTTTGTGTCACTTGTGTTTTCCTCTGGGAACCTATACAGAGTGACTCCCAATTCTGGATATGTAGGCAAATATATAGAAATGATTTATTTGTATTGTATTATAATATATGATATAACAATGAAGTATATCTGTATACTTTATGGACACTCTAGAATCTTCTCTTTGTTTCTAATGTTCTAAAATTTCGTAATGATGGGCCTGGCATGAATCATTTTTCATTCATGGTCTGGTTACTCATTGAGACCCTTCAAGTCTAGAGACTCATGTTATTTATTCTGGGAATTTTTTTTTGCTTTGCTGATTACTTCCCTTTCATTTTCTCTACTTTGGCTTTCTGTAACTTTATTATTTTAGATGCTGTGATTCCTGGGTTGCTTTTCTGATTTTCTTATCTTTTCTCCTCTTGGGTCCATCTTTGTTGTGTAGTTCAACTTTCTGGGAGATTGACATAACTGCAGCATCCAATCCTCCTGTGTACTTTTATTTTAAAATTTTAGTTACTCTACCTTGGTATAGGAGCTCTGATGGCATAGTGACTGAGGCATTTGACTGTTAACCAGAAGGCTGGCGGTTCAAACCCACCAGCCACTCCTCGGAAGGAAGGTTGGGTAATCTACTTTTGTAGCGATACCGCCTCAGAAATCCAAGGAGGGGTTGCTATGAGTTGGATCCAACTCCGTGGCAGTGAGGTTTTTTTTTTGTTTGTTTGTTTTGTTACCTTGATATGTCCTTGATCCAAGGAAAAGTATACACTACAGTTAACACTAGAATTGTCTGTGTTCTACCATAGAAAAAGGAAAGTGGGCTGTTTAGAAAAGATCATATGCCATTCAAAAACTAGTTCAGTATTTGATTTTAGTTTGAATGTTTAGAGTCACTTTATCTTTTGCATTAAAGCTTACAAAATTAGAGGAAATGGGTCTACTGCACTTATTGGAAAGACTAAAACTTACATTAAAAATAATGACAACTCTTAAATTTGAATAATTATCCAGGTAGCTGATTATCTATAGCAAAATTTAAGCAAAAATACTTCTGAACTGTCTGTCATTATATGTCTATAAGAGAATGTAAACACAATTTTAACACCAGCTTGAGAAAAGTTTAAATAGGAAGGCAAGGCTTTGAGAAGAAATGCATATATGTTTTCAAAGTGAATATGAATGACTTTTAGTGATTCTTTTGGATTTTCTTTGCCACTGCATCATGTCCATGGATAGTTAGGAGTAAAACATTTCTTCCATTTCTAAGATTGAATTTTAATTTGAAAATTGTTTGGTAAAATTATTTTCTCAGTTTTGAGGCAGTGACTGAGATAATTGAACTGGTAAGTGGTTTTTATGCCTCAGAAATAATGGTGAAACCAATTAACAGTAACCAAGTCTATTTTTCATATAATCTTGGTCATAATAAAAATACCTGCTATCAAAAGGGGAAGTCTCATCCTTTTAAAATCTTTTGTTTAAGAATGTGTGATCTTGTTTATCAGAAAAGAGTAAAGATAGCCTATAAAGGCCTCTTGGCATGCAAAAATGATACATATAGTGTATTTGCTTCTTGTTTTAAAGTTGTATAATAGCAGTTGACAAAAAGCATGTTTGAAAAACCAGTTCTGACTCTTTAACTTTTCAGATTGGAAAGAGAGTATTTCTCCAAAAATAAGAAACTAAATGAAGAGATTGAGGAACAGAAGAAAGTAATTATGGACCTTTCAAAGAGACTGCAGTATAATGAAAAAAATTCCAGTGAATTACAGGAAGAACTGGTAATGGTAAGGATAAAAAAGAATACCCTATGGCAATTATTTTATTACATCAAATTGATATGTGGTAGGTTTTATCCTCACAAAAGGCCAGGAGATAGTAGTATGAAAATAATTTTAGTGACATATTAAGAAAAAAAATCAAAACTGGAGATGCTGACTAATAACCAATGCAACAATCACAGTGTACTGCTGTCAAGTTGGATCCAACTCATAGCAACCCCTCCTTGGGTTTCTGAGGTGGTATCACTACGGAAGTATATTGCCCACCCTTCCTTCCGAGTAAAAACAAGTATGTACATAATAAAACCTCTCTGATTTGGAATGGTCGGGGGGGTGGGGTGGGGGAGGGCGGAACTAACTGAATTAGTGAAAAGTATAAATTATAGGATCTTTTAAAGTGTGTTCAAGAGTTTTTCTTTTCTTTTTTAAAAAAGTACATAAAACAATATTACCTTGGGTGAGGACTCAAGATATACAATCAGTAGATCTAATGACAGATTCCAAAGACTATGTTTTATAATCGTTTTGTATCTGATCTCTCCCCATTCTCCAGCAGTCTAGCTTTAATACCAATGCCAAATTTATCTTTCTAAATTATCAATCTGATTTTATCAACCTCTCTTTATTCAAAAACCTTGTTGCTTTTATAATAAAGTCCACCTTGGTATGTAATCTAAGCCCCTGTTTCTTTTTATCTCCATATTACTTTTCCAGTTTCTTGCCATTGCCCTCTATTTTGCTTCAGCGCCATTAGAATACTCTTGACTTCCTAAACACATTATATATTCTCATATCTTTTTACTTTTGTTCATGCTGTTCATTTTTTTGGGCTATATTGACTGGAATGTTGTCTCTTGTTTTCCACTATCAAATTTCTAGACATCTGGTAAGGCCCATCTCTGATATCTTGCTATCTATGAAATTTTTTCTGGGTCTGTCTTTTCTTACTCTCCCATCCACCTTAAGTCAGAACTTTGTTGTTGTTGTTGTTATTTGCCGTCGAGTCGGCACCGACTCATAGCGACCCCTCCTTGGGTTTCCGAGGCAGTATCACTACGGAAGTAG